AAATGGGTGTGATATCAGTGTCCCCTTAGGTCTGAGCACTCTGCAGTCTCTTATTCTCTGCACATTGGCCAGTTGGGAATCTTTGTTAATCTCCATTTGGCTGCAAAAAGATGCTTCTCTGGTGAGAGCTGAGAAATGCACTAATCTATGTGTATAACAGTAAGTCATTAGGAATTTAATACTATGTCTATTTAGCAGAATGATAGTAGTAGCAACAGTAGGTTCTCCCCTACAGCCTGTGACCTGTCTAGCCATAGATTCTTGGTCCTGCTAACAGTGCTGGGTATGAACTCCATCTTGTGAAGCAGGCCTTAAATCCAATCAGAAAGTGGTTGGTTACTTCCAGAACATTCATGCCACTATTGCACCAGTAGGCATATCCTGCCAGGCCAGGCATTATCACAGTTTATCGTGTTCACAGCTGACTAAAGCTGATAATTACTTTTCTCTTCTGGTAGCATGCATAGCACCTTCTGGCACACTGAAGCTAGCCAGTAGAGATGAAGTTTCAAGGTCAGTACCAGCTTGATTTCTCCATGTTCTAAAACTCACATATGTAGTATCTTCGGCAACAAGATCTTACTGTCAAGTTCTAGAAGGTAACCAAGAGCAATAACACCCCCAAATTTTACCCATCAAGTTATTCTAATTTTACAGAATCCTTTGAAGATGCTTGTAAGGATTATTCCACTCTGTTAGAATATGTTTAGGATTTTCTGGATCATCTTACAGAACAGTCTGGCAGTTTTGAAACAGAAATTGAACTGTTTGTAGAAATTTTGAATGGCTAGGTTACAAAAGATAATGCTTTGCAAGACCTTGTGGAACTCATCTACCAACAGACCATGATGGTGCCAAATTTCTCTTATATGGAAGCTGACCTGTGTAATTACCTGTCCAGTCACCTGACAATTAGCCCAAAAGTAGGGACCTCTGTCAATTACTACTTCAAAGATGTCAGACAGAATAAAAAATTAAAGATTGCACTGTAGGGGCTGGAGAGATGGCTCAGTGGTTAAGAGCACTGGCTGCTCTTACAGGGGACCCAGGTTTGATTCCTAACACCCACATGGCGGCTAACAACCATCCGAAACTCCAACTCCAGGGATCTGACACCCTCTTCTGACTTCTGAGGGCATTGCACGGCATGGATGTATTTACACACATGGGGGCAATACACTCATACACATAAAAATAATAAACTAGCCAGGCGTGGTGGCACATGCCTTTAATCCCAGAACTAAGGAGACAGAGGCAGGTGGATCACTATGAGTTCAAGGCCAGCCTGGTCTATAGAGAAAGTTCCAGGCCAACTGGGGCTACAGGGAGACCCCGTCTCCAAACAACTATAGGCGAGCACGCGCTGGGCTCTCAGGGTCCCAGCGCGCACTCCTGGGCAGTGAAAGTTCCTCCGCTACTGAGGTCTACTCAGTCGATCCCGTCCCTATTTCACCCATATACCTTCCTCAGGATGTGAGGCCCACTGGCCACTTGGACCACACGGGAAGCGTACGAGGGACGGCGAAAGCTAGGGTGTCCGCGAGTTGGTGACGGAGGAATAGCACCCCCCAGGGAGACTGGATCACAGGATTTAGTGTTACAGCTCAAGACAAGTGACTCAGCTCAGATCTCAGTGATTCAGCTCCAGCTCCAACTTTATTGGGGTAAAACTAGGACTATTTATAGTGTAGAGACAGCAGAAGAAGCCTTAGCTGATAGGTACTTTTAGGATGCCTCATTTACATAGGGCAGTGGGCTTCTATCAGGCTATCAGACAACGCCTGATTAAAAACCTGGTAGCTCCTGTGCCGGAGGGCATGTATTTGTGGCGAGCACTTTAAAAGAAGAGTCAGGGAGGATGCCAGGAAGGCACTCTGCTATGAAAGGAATCTGCAGCACATGGTTTCTGAGCTCGTGAGCTATCCGGACGTGAAGAGACTTCTACTTTGCATAACAGAGGACCCCAACAAACAACAACAACAATAATAATAATAATAATAATAACCTTGATGAAGTGATTCAAAACCATTTCATGCATTTGTACTGTTTCTTGGAGAACTTTATCTTAACCTGGAGATCAAAGGAACAAAGAGACAAGGTACAAGAGCAGATGTCCTTCAGGTTGGTCTTCAGGAATTGCTGAATGCTCTCTTCTCTACTCCTATGGAAGACAATTTAATTTATGCAGCAAAATTATTGAAGTTGGCAGGGTCAGTTTTAGAAGGCACTTGGAAGGAAAAGTTTGATATGGAAGAAATTGTTCAGAAAATTGAAAATACCCACAAGATCACATCCAGCTCTGAGTAAATTCAAAAATTGCTCCAATTTATAAAAATCTGGGGCTGGGGAGATGGCTCAGAGGTCAAATCACTTGCCACGCAGGTATGAAGACCAGAGTTTGGATCTCAAGAACCTACGTAAATACCAAGTGGATGTGGCCGCTCACCTGTAATTCCAGTACTTGGAAGGCAGAGCTGAGATCTTCTGAGCAAACTGACTAGCACGGCAAGCTGTATCGGCTAGCTCTGGGTTCGACTGAGAAACCTTGTCTCAATGGATAAAGTGGAAAGTGATATAGGAAGATTTCCAACATCAATCTTAGACCTCAGGCGTGCACGCGCACGCATACACACACACACACGCACACACACACACACACACACACGCATAGATGAGAGAACACGTGCACATATGCATGCCACACACAGAGATACATGAAAAATAAAAAAAGAACTTGTTAGTACCAGATCACTCCACAGTGTCTTCTGAGAAGGGATTCAAATAAAGCAAAAAACCCAGGGCCCACTGCAGGAAGAAAGAGGCCTGCCCGGCTTCCTTCTGACAGGAATGGGCTGGCACGCCCCAGGCCTGACTCAGCAGTAAAGATAGGTTTGAAGTCAGACTTCCAGGGGTCAGACCCAGGTCACACTCTTTGCTGGCTGTGTAACTTAGCACCTTTTGGAGCCTTGATCTTCTCATCTATAAAGTGGAACTAATAATAGCTTCCTCATAAGCTGTTATGAATCTTAAAAGATAACCGCACATCAAGCACTTTCATAAACACACCAACCATCCTGGCAGTCTGTATTTCTCCTCCTCACTCACCTGCCATGTGAGCTATGCACACCTCATTTCACCCATAGGCACCTCAAGGGCCACCTCAACTGTGCCTCAAGGACATGTGAGATGGGTATAATGCTGGACAACGCGGAGGATAGTCTCAGTACATCTAGAATGTGAAATGTCCCCAATGAACTTATGTGTTTAAACACTTAATCTGCAGCTGGTGGTGCTGTTTTAGAGGGCTGTGGATCCCCTTGGACATAGGGCCTAGTTTGTAGAGGCAGAAACTCCCACAGTTTAACAATCATACCAGAGTCCCTGATGCTTGACCCCAGCAAGTTGTGATGTCTCATACAAACATTTAGAGCTAATTCCTAATGACCCATGAGTTCTTACACCAAATGGTCAATCTCAGGAAAGACAATTGAGTCTCTAAAGTCACTTGCTTCCAACTCTGACAATCTGAGTTTGATCGCCAGGACCCACATGACAGAAGAAGAAAACCAATTCCCTCAAGCTGTTTTCCACATGCCTGCTGTGGCATGTACATGCCCACGTATACACACACACACACACACACACACACACACACACACACACACACACACACACACACATGCACAGAGAAAGAGAGAGAGAGAGAGAGGTGTAATTTTAAAAATCAGAGAGAAAGACAACTAATGCTATAAAATTCACTGCTTAACAAGACAGTAAAATGCCTACTCACCTACCCAAGTATGAACCACACAAATGGCACACAAGACAAAATTAAGTAACTTTCCTCTAACTTTTATAAAAGACCTCCCATTTTCTCTTGGCATCAGGGAAATGTTTCTTTCTTTTAGAATTTCCCACTGTGCCCCTTTCTCTCCTTGCACTGTATTTTCTTTAATAAATCTCTGTGTCTCTTCTGGTCTGGTAAATACCCTTTTTTTTAGACAATATTTTCCTGAAGCCCCAGCTAGCCTGGGACTTTCTATGTAAACCAGGCTTACCTCAATCTCCCAGAGATCTTCCTGCCTCTGCCTCCTGAGTGCTGGGAGTAAAGGCATATACCACTATGTATGACCTGGTGTAAATATTTTTAACCCAATACACTTGGCCTGTCGTTATCATGGCCTATATGACATAGCTAGCAAATATATGCTCACAGACTTGAGAAATACAAGCCCACTCCTTGTCTGGCCCAAGTTCTCTTCTTCTGATCCACAGAGATGTGAGGAAACTTTGCCACAAGCTTACAACTCCCAAGCTGCCATGCCTCCCCCCGGCCCCCCATGATGAACTATATACCCCCTTCAACTATGAACCAAAATAAATCCTTCCTTGTTTCTGTCAGGTATTCTGTCAAAGCAATGAGAAAAAAATAGATAATACAGTTCCTAATGATATAGCCAATGGTCCAGCCTCAGCTTAAATCTCTATCATTTTGAACCCTTGTCCAATAATTTCATGACTAGAGAAGTCATTCCACAAACATTAACACACCCATCCATGTCTGGGATAGCCCTGTCTCCCAGGTTATTTGTTTATGTTCTATCTCATAAACAAGAGGTCAGCAAACTTTTCTTTTAATAGCCAAATACTAAATATTTTAGGCATTGAAATTACTCAGTCTCTATGACAACTACTCAAGTCTGCATTGTAGCTGGAAAGCAGCCACAAACAACAGAAATGAATAGGTGAGGCTGTGTTCCCATGAAAGATTGTTTATAAAAACAGGTAGCAGATGAGGTCAGCCCATGGACCACAGTTTTCTGGCTACAGGACATGCACTTGTGAAGCAGTGACCTCACCCAGGGGTAACAACTAAAGAGTAACCAGTGACTGGCCATTTGGGCAGGGTGCACACAACTTGCACACATACTCGGGCACAAAATGACTTCATAGAGCACCAATTAGCAATGCCAATCCAATTACTTACACAAAATTCACACTTCTGATAATGCATATTTGCATATATTTTTATTTTATGAGTGACAAGTGTACAGGGGCATAAGCATTTATCGCTGCAGGGGGACAGGATTTTTGTCACTACAAATAGAAGAATAATGAAATGTTCTTCTCGTGTCCCTTGGATATGTTTCCATACTTTTATTTTAAACAGCAAGAGCGCTAATATTTGGGGACTTTGATATTTCAAACTGAAAGGAAATATTCATTTCTGGAATAAGCTAATTTTTCCAGAGCTGGGAATAGGACTGGCCTCCTCTAACTTCTCTGGGTAGTTTATCAATGATAACTTCTCCCAGACCGCTCAGGGCAAGTGAGATATTAAGTGTAATGCTGAGAGGAAGAGTTTCAGCATTTTATATGAAGTGTTTGGTTCTCAAAGGTTGTTTTCCTGGATTTCATTTCCTCTTGCTCCCAGCAATCCAAAAATCAAATAAAACAAGGGTCTAACATGTATCCAAGTAGAGATTTGCCATTCATGCTGTTTAAAGAAATCAGCAAAAAGTTGCAAGAGAGACCACTGAAGCTCTTCACCCTGGGTCAGCAATGGTTGGATGCAGATTCTTTTCAGGCACCCACTCGTGCTTCCCACAGCACGTCCAATGAAGTCCTAAGAAAATGCCTAGGCAGGCACAGACAGGGCTCTGGTGTTCCCTGAGCATACCCTTCCCCTGCTGGGGCACTGAGGCATCCAAAGGCCCAGAGTTGATCTCTGCACATGTCCCTCACTTCTGCCCAGGGACCATGGAATCCTTGAAGATCTCAGCATCCTCTGGCTTAAGGGATCCTGAAAAGTGCTTCAGATGAACTTCCTCTGGCTGGGTAGCATGCCTGTCTCTAGTGCTTGCATCCCTCAGAAGGGGAACCAGGGCAAAGTTCTTCCAGTTTCTCCCTGAAACTAAAGGGTAAAACATCATTACTACCTTGGATGCAGCAAAACAAAGGTTTACTTGTAGGCCCTGCATCTCCAGATGAAAGAAAGCCCAGGCATCCTTGGGCTCCTGGATCCTTGTAGTTTCCTCTTCCTCTTCTACTCAAGGAGCTTGATCTACCCACAGAACACTTTTAAGTTTTCTTCCTCCACCCCAACCTAGCATACCTGTGACCTTGTGAGTCCATCACTTGCCTCTCTCAGGCTCCATTGCCTCCCTGCCCAAATGGAAGAGGTTTCTGCAATGCAACTCCACACTGGATCAGCTCTAGAGTGATGAACATCAGCTGAAAAATCAGGACTTAAGGTTGAGGCCCCACTAGGGTATAGCAGACTAGGGGGAAATGACAAGGGAGGCCTGGTAACACTGGGCTTCAAATAAGAACCCTGGCAAGGTCTCAAACCCCACAGAGCTCCAGAGAAAGACTTGGTTGTCGGCCCCACAGCTGCCTCTACTATCTGGCTGCTTCAGAAATGACAGCCAAGAAGGCAATCTATATGATACTTTCATTTTCTGATTGGCTAAGCACTGTGGTTGGCACCCTGAATCTACTCTCTCTGCAAAACCAGTTGTGCTGGATAGCTTTAGTGTCAACTTGACACACCTGGGTTGAGGGAGCCTCATTTGGGGAATTGCCTCTATTGGACTGGCCTGTGGCCATGTCTGAGGGGCATCTTCTTGATGAGTGATGTGGGAGGGCCCAGCCCACTGTGGGTGGTGCCACCCCTGGGCAGGTGGGCCTGTGTTGCATAAGAAAGCAGGCTGAGCAGGGGCCAGGAGAGCAAACCAGCAAGCAGCATTCCTCCATGGCCTGTGCTCCAGCTCCTGCCTCCAGGTTCCTGCCCTGAGTTCCTACCTTGGGCTCCCAGATGAACTGGGACCCAGGATATGTAAGACAAATAAACCCTTTCCTCCCCGAGTTGATATTGGTCAGAGTGTTTTGTCACAGCAATGGAGAAACAGACTAGGACACGAGTCAATATTCACACCTCCAGGCCTCAGGCCAGGGGCTAACCCCCTCCACTAGAAGGCCACAACCAAAGGCATCAAGAATGGCAGAGGCTGGACTAATGAAATGGTTCAGCCAGTAACAGCACTTGTTCCACATGCCTGGTGATATAAACTCAATACCCAGAACATACATAAAGGTGGAAAGAGAAAGCCAGCTTCACTACACACGCACTGTGACACGGAGGAGGAGGAGGAGGAGGAGGAGGAGGAGGAGAAGGAGGAGGTGGAAGAGGAGGAGAGGGGGGAGGAGGAAGTAAAATGCCATTGTGATTGCTCCAGCTGAATTCTCCAGGTCTGGACACTGATGGTATCCCCCATGAGGACTGGCCTGTACTCCAACCCCAAACAAACACCAAGCACCAATTGCCAAAGGAGGATTCCTTGAAGAACACTAAGTATCAAAACAGGAATGTAGGGGGGCAGGGATGACAAGCCAGCTGCCTGTTGGGATACTGATTACTGGCTGGATGGGTAGTAGAGACACCCAGCCTCAGGAACTGTGGGGTCTCTCCCTCCCCTCATGGGTCATTGGCCACCGATCCACAGGACAAAGGGAGCAGAAGCGACAAACGGGGTCAGCACGGCCAGTGAGCACTGACGGAAGAAAGCCCTTCAGGGGAGGCAGGTTCAGTGATACAGCTCCAGACTCAGTGAAACAGCTCCATTTATTCAGTGGGGGTCAGGGAAAATATAGTGTGGAGGCAGCAGCCAATGCTTCAGCTGATAGGTGCTCATAGTATGCTTTATTTACATGTGGTAGCAGGATCCTATCATCCTACTATGGGGCAATGCCTAATTATCATATAGAAAAAAACCTGGGGGTAGTTTTTACTCCAGGTAACTATGCCAAAGGTCATGTTCCAAATAAGGTCAGGCATCCTCGCTTGGCAGCACTTTCCAGGTAAGTCAGGCAGAGAGTAGGAGGCCCCCGCTGAGAAAGGGAGTCCTTCCATATAGCACAGAGCCCCTTAGAGCTATCCGGACATGAAGGACTACAACCCTAGCAGCAGGATCCCCCAACAAGGAACTGTTTGGCCTAGCTAGTTCCAGGGTCCTCAAAGGGGATCTGAGGTTCCCAGTGCCACTCACCACATTCTGATGCCAAGATTCCTCCACACAGTCCCCCATCTCCTCTACTTACCACTCCCCCACCAGGCCTTTCCTTCCCGAATTTTCCCACCTCTTCTTACCATATGCACTGTCTGATGGGGAGAGGACTTGTTACCTGAATTATCTGGCTATTCATCACTAGAGTGTCTACTGTTACAAAGTTAAATATGGACGCGAAATCCTTATGTAATGTTTCCTAATTCCTAAGAAATGTAAGTACAAAACTCCGGGACCTCCAGCCATCTTCCATCTTATTCCGATTAAAACAAAAGTGCAGATCCCTGCCACTGGGCCGACATCTTTATTAATACAGTGAGTGTACAATGCTGTAACAGTCTACAGCATCAGGCAAATAGCCTGCAAAGTGAAACAGAGAATCTTGTAATAACTGTGGGATTTCAGAGTCTGTAGCGGTGATACCAGAAAACTACCCAAATCACTCACAAAGCCATTTTTTAATACATCACTGACAATGTTAGCACAGCTAACAAATTGAAGAAAAGATAATCAGTGATGATGCGACCCAGAGAGGCTTTCCAGTTAGACTCACAGGAAGTCAGGAGACTGCAGGAGGCCTGTGTGGACAGTAATGAGGCCCTCAAGCAGTGGGAAAACTTTCCAAAAATAGCCTTTTTCAGTTTTTCTCTGTTGGAGATAGAACATTGGGTCTTGTACCTGCTAGACAAGTGCTCAACCACAGAGCTACATCACCAACCCCAAAAGTAAGCCTTTGACGAACTCGATCTCTGCATCCAACTATAATGGAGCATCTCATATTGGGCTGAACTGCTCTTGGCAATCATAAACTGGGCAAAATGCACACAGCCAATTATGTTTAGGCCTGAAGTAACAGATACTGAGAAGCCACAAACCCTGAGAGCAGTAAAACTAACAAGGCTTATGAGTTCCTCCTTTCTGCTTAAGGGACAATTTTACAAACATTCAAGGAACAGTCCAAGCAGCATGGAATGCCGAAAAGCATGGAATTTTCTCTGAATGAAAGAGGAAGAAATCAGAGTTTGGGGCAGCTCACACAACTAGAATCACTATAACAGAGCACAGGAGAAGAAGGAATTGTGACAGTGGAGGTCCAGTAGGCTTTGGGGCAGGGTAGTTTCCACAGTCCGTGGCTGAGATCTGGGCTTAGCTTACTTGTATTGGTGAGACCACAGAAAGGCTGCTATGGGGCTGGAAGTGTGGCCGACACACAAAAGCCTGAATATACCAGGGAATCTGGCCAGTATGGGGAAACAAGAATTCTTAAGACAATTTAAGCCAGCAGCGCCTCAGCTAGGAGAGGGATATCGTGTCCTTTCTCTCTATGCTGGGATTTTATCTGTCTTGAGCTTGCACAGGTCTTATGCATGCTGTCACAACTACTGTGGGTTCATATGTGCAATTGCCCTGTGGAGTTTGGAAAACACTATTTCCTTGTAGTCATCCACCGATATTGTTAATTGACAGCTTCCGGGAGGAGAGTCAGTTTTCTTTAAGGGTGAGATCCCTGATAGGTTAACCACTCCCATGGATGTCCTTTTACACAAAAGTATATGGGCAGCACAAATTGAATTCCATGGATTTTGAAAGACAGAGAGAGAGAGAGAGAACAAAGTTGGGTGAGTAGCGAAGGTAGTGGATCTGAGAGGATTGTGGAAAGGGAGTGAATGCAACCAAAATACATTGTACGAAATTTTCAAAGAGCTAATAAAAATAAGAGGGGAAAAAAGATCCTTTAAGCATGCACAAGTATTACGTGATTCCTTAGTAACTAAAGTACCAACTGAACAAAAACTCCATGTTCTTTAAAAGAAAGTAACAGAATCTAGGTTTCCCACAGTATATTATCTACAATGTCCAGTACGTCATTTGAAAATACTAGGAAAAACAAAGGAAAACAAAGAAAATTTGGCTCACAGTCAGGAAAAATAGCAGTTAAAAGAAATAGACCCCAAAATGGCCCTTATGTTGGATTTAGCAGACAAAAATACATTTATTTTTCTAGCGGTAGGGACTGCTGAACTCAGGGCCTTGTGCTTAGTAGACCAAGAGCAGTACCACTAAGCCATAGTTCAGTCCACTTGCCTGGATGTGTCACGTAAAGGTGTTCACATGCACCTGTTTGTGACCCTATGGCTTTACAGATTTCTGACTACACATGGGTCTGAGGGACAGGGCTGAGAAGGTAGGCAATCACATAAACTAGCCATTTGGAGGGGTGGATGTGGTCTAAGCTGCTTCCTCAGGGGCACTAAGGACAGTGCCTACACGGGGATACAAGCAGTGGACAGTTTGTAGGAACACACTGAGCACTCAGTGGCACAGTGTGTTTGAAGACATGCACCAGTGATTGAGTGTGTGTATGCCTGGCATCTGGGGCTGCTACATAGCCCAGTTCTTATGTGAGAAAGGTCTGCAAGGAGTGGGGGACCCATCTACCCAGCATCAGGCCCTCCCTGCCACAGTATCACCTGTCACACCTCACCTCGGCCTGACCTCAGGGAAAAGCTCAGAGTGCGCTTGACCCCCTCACAGTTGCCCGGATCCTCGTTAATGATGCCCACATTGGTGTTCCAGGTAGTCCAGTTCACTTCGTCCACCCTGCAAGGGAGGGGACAGGGTCTGGGGGACCAACTGCCTATGGCCTCACCATCTGCATATTAGGATGGAGACACAGCTGGTGGGGAGAACAGCCAGTGCTTGCTTTATAGACATCACCACTTCCCAGCCACACCACAAGGCTCAAGAACTTTAAACATTGAATTCCTGGGTTTGACTCTGTTTGCCTAGTTGTCCCTTCTGGAAACCTCAAATTTTCCAGGATTTAATGCTGATGTCCTACATGCTAAGATCTTAGGTAGGTTTCCTGTGCTCACAGTTGTGTCCTGGAGTGGCACTTGCACCAGCTGCTGGCCTTGAGAGTCCACTACTCTAGCCCCAAGGAGCACTGAGACTGGTCTCTACAGCCTCAACTGGCTCCTGGCTGGGTCCGCCATATCCATTAGCTCAGGAATTCTCAGCATTGACTCCTGTTTGGGCCTTACCTGAAACACCACCGGTAGTCATCTTTGCCATCGGGTGTAAACCCCACCTGCAGCAGCTTGCCTGAGCGGAAGGCCTTCCTCATGCACTTCAAGAAGCTCTTCTCTGTGTCCAGGATGGTGATGGCTCTCTGCAGAAAGAGAGATACAAGCAACCAGCCTGGTTCAGCCTTACCAGAGCTTCATCTGGTGCCCCTAAGCCCACCCTGAAGTACCTCCAGCAGCAAGTCTGTTTGCACAGCCTGACAGGCACACACTCCATGAAGGAATCTAGCCCAGACCTGCCTCTGCCTGGGTGCTGCCTGCTGAACCTGGAAGGACAGCCCTGTAAGTGATGTGGAATATCCCAACTTACCCAGGGAACTCACAACGAATTATATAGGGTGCTGGGTGAAATTGGGGTCTCAAAAGTAAGACCAGCTAGACAGTCAGGCATGGTGGCACACACCTTCAATCCCAGCACGTGGGGGGGGGCAGAAGGCAGGTGGATTTCTGTGAGATCAAGGCCAGCCTGGTCTACATATGGAGTTCCAGGCCAGCTGGGGCTAAAGGGAGACCTTGTCTCAAAAAATCAAAAAAAAAAAAAAATGAGACCACCTGGTCTAAATCCTGGCTCTGCTTCTTGACAGCTATGTGGTCTGGAACACAGATAGATGACATCCTTATACCTCGATGCCTCGTCTAAAGATGGGATAGTGATAGAACTCCCTTCAGAGAATTGTGGAGGATTCAATGAGATAGGTAAGTCAGACACTTAGAAAAAGACCTACCATTCAGTAAGTGCTACTTAATAAGAACAGTGCTTTAGGGACTGGAGATATGACTCAGTGGTTAAGAGCACTGGCTACTCTTGCAGAGGACACAGGTTTGGTTTTCAACACCCACATGGTAGCTAACAACCATCCATAACTCCAGTTCCCGGGGATCCTATGCCCTCTTCTGTCCTCTGTAGGCATTACAGCTATGTAGTGCACTTACTTACATGTAAGTGAAACACATACACACATAAAATAAAAATGAATAAATCAAAAAAGAGCAATGATTTATTGGTAGGAGTTAGGGAGGTAGTTGGCCATGTGGCTTAGAAACGCAGCTCTCAGGCCCCCACCCCATATGAACCACACCCTTGAGTCTGGTGTCCAGTACCCACCTAGACCAAGATCTCCTATGGTGGATAGGGGCTGAGCCTACATCCCTTTCTCTCTGGGACTGCTTGGCCCCAGGTCATACAGAATCTGTGAGCACTAGCTAAGCTAACCTGACTGTGTACAGACAGTGTACAGCAGGGACACCCACAGGAAGGAATCCACCAAGGGAGCTGCCAATGTTGATCCTCAGGTCTACCTGGGCTTCCTGCCCTCTCACCAGTCCCACCAGGCCTCAGGTGCCTGGCTGTTTAACAGCAAGCAGAACAGCCACCTCCAGGCTGCATGCTGTACTCCATCACATGCTGCTCACCTGCAGCTTCCAGATGTTCTTGCTCTCCTGTGCAATCTTGTTGACAGTCTCACCCATGAGAGCAATGAGCATGTTGAGCAGGAGGATGTAGGTGAGAATCACGTAGGCCAGCAGCAGGATGATGAAGACAGCCTTGAAGTCATAGTTCTCGGTGAATTCCAGGTCACCCATGCCGATGGTGAATTTGAACAGCTCCAGACATGTAGAGTACAGGCTGTTGTAGGAGCTGTCCGCTGGCTTGCAGCCCCGCCACCTGTGTGATGTGGACTCAAGAGGCATAGAGTCATTCTTCCCATCTTCAATCAGCGTCACCACAGCTACAAGTTGCAAGAGGAAGGGGCACAGTTGGATGGAAGCCAAGAGCCTAGACCCCTGACATACACCCTCCTGCCTCAAGATGGGTCATAGCTGGAAGACTGCTCAGCCATGTAACACCTCTTCCCACAAACTATCAGAAAACTGTCATAGCATGCTGATTGTCATCTTAAGAACTTTATTATGGTCTATTAGAAAATAATACTAGGGGCTGGAGAGATAGCTAAGTGGTTAAGAACAGTTGTTGTTCTTGCAGAAGACCTGGGTTCAAATCTCAGCACCCGCATGGCAGCTAACAACTGTTCCGTAACTCCAGTTCCAGGGGATCCGACGGCCTCTTCTGTCCTCCTCAGACATTGCACAACATGGGTGCACTTACCTACACACAGGCAATACATGAATACACATAAAAGAAAAAAAAAGAAAATAATGCTAAAATAAATATACAAAGCAAATATACAGGTCCCTGTGGAGGATACAACCTGCCCAACTTCACAAGTCAGGTAGGCCTGGCCTACCTTGTCAACCACATTGTGTTTGCCTGTGTCTTTTAAATGTTTTTAAAGATATCTTTATGTGTATGTGTGTTTTCCTACATGTATGCATGTGTACCATATGCATGTCTGGTGCAATGGATCCGTAGAACTAGAGTTACAGGTGGTTGTGAGCTGCCATCTGGGTGCTGGGAACTGAACCTAGGTCCTCTGCAAGAGCAGCAAGTGCTCTTAACTGCTGAACCATTTCTCCGGCCCTTAATCTTTTTTACATATTTATTTATTTTTATTTTATACATGTGAATGTTTTAACTGCATGTAAGTATGTGTACCACATGCATGCCTGGTGCCCACAGGGGGCAGAAGAGGGTAGAAGAGGGCATCAGATCCCCTGGAACTGGAGTTATATATGGTTGTAAGCCACCATCTTGGTGTTAGGAACTAAACCCAGGTCCTGTATAAGAATAGCAAGTGCTCTTAACCACAGAACCATCTCTCTAGCCCTTGCCTGTGTCTTTTAGAAGTCCACTCTAGAACCACAGGTGTTGGGCAACTCAGAAAAGAGTGGCTTCTGCCCACATTCTTCCTTGGAAATGTAATACAGGGCCTGACAACTTCTGAGCAGTTATGTGCTGTTTACTGAATATTATTGGTACCCACTAACCCCCTTAGCCTAATCCATGTCTATGCCTGCTGCTATATGGGACTTTAGATCAGATGCCAAGGCCCATACCTATCAGGTCTCCTCTTAGTTATGGCTGCCAGCCCTCCTATGCAGAAGTTCCAAAATAAACTGCAGGGTAGGAGCAGGGATAGACATACCACAGGAACTAAGTGACTTCAGAACTCAGATGAGGATTCAAGCAGAGTGGTTCACTCAAAGCACAATGTGGACCAATTAAAGGGTTATAGAAGCCAGTCGGAAGGGCTCCCAAGGACCAGGTCTCAGCTTCAAAATAACTGATGATGGGAAGATTATGACTCAAGTAATAGTGAGAATCCAAAAAGAGTAAAACGAGTCCACGAGACCATGGTGTTTAAAAATGAATTGAGGGGACCAGAAAGATGGTTCAGTAATTAAGCACACTGACTGCTCCTGCAGAAGACCCGGCTTTCATTCCCAGAACCCACCTGGTGGCTGGCAACCATACACAACTCCAGTTTCAGGAGATCCAATGGTCTCTTCTGGCTCTGCAGGCATTGCATGACATGGGTACACTTACATACATGCAGGCAAAATATTCATGCACATAAAATTTAAAAATTTTTAATTAAAAAATGAATTAAGGGGGTGGAGAGATGGCTCAGTGGTTAAGAACACTCGTTCCTGCAGAAGACCCGGGTTCAAATCCCAGCACCCACATGGCAGCTAACAACTGTCCATAACTCCAGTCCCAGGGGATCCGACGGTCTCTTCTGACCTCTGCGGGCACTGCACGACACGGGTGCACTTGCCTACATGCAGGCAATACACATATACACATAAAATAAAAATAATAATTTTTTAAATGAATTAAGGAACATGATAAAAGCTCTTCCTTGTAATAAAGTGCCAGGGACTAAATGTGCAAAGAGTGGTGGAGTTAGAAAATCATTGTTTGAGGCCTGGGGCTATAACTCAATAGGAACTTGCCTAACATATATTAGACCCTAGGTTCAATCTCCAACATCACAAAAAAAGAAGAGGATGGAGGAGAAGGAAGGAAAGGAGAGGGGAAGAGAGGGGAAGGAAAAGGAGGGTAGGAGGGGAAGGGAGGAGGGGAGAGGAGAAGGAAGGGGAGGGACAGAGACAGGTTTTTCAATGGTAGATGGTGCTGGAGAGATGGTGCAGCAGTTAAGAGCATTGACTGCTCTTGCAGAAGATCTGGGTTTGGTTCCCAGCACCCACATGGCAGCTAACAGCTGTAACTCCAGTTCCAGGGTATTTGACACCCTCTTCTGACTTCCACAGACATTGTACACACATGGCTCACTTACATACATGCATACACATAAAATAAAAATCAGTCAAAAAATTTAAGTGGTAAAATGTAGGGAACCTGGATAAGAAGAATAGAGCAGTTATTTGTACTATTCTTAAAACCTTCCTGTCTTAAATAGTGAAGTAAGTTGTGAAAAAAAACTGAGCCAAACTATAGCTATACTGCAAGCAGGCAGCACTTGTATCTCTAAAACAACTAAGAACATTTTATGAATAGCATTTCCGAGGTCTCTGGCTCATTTCAGCGAGTTATCTGTCATCCGCTCTCACCTGCAGGCAAGCACCGCACCTGGGAGTCAGGTGAGCAAGAGACATGCCTACCACCACCCTGACTAAACAGATTACCTGTAGAAAATCCAAACAAGAACACGAGGTAGACAAACATGAATCGACACAGGTCTCTGAGGATCATCTGTGGGAAGAACAGGCTCATTAGAGACAAGCCCAGCCCTGGGAGGAGCATGGTAAGGACCAGCGCTGCATCAGCCTGGAGCGGAACCCCAGAACACACATCAGGAACCTGCAACAGGCCGCGTTCTGTGGTTTCCAGCTCAGAAGTCATGAGGAAATAGCCCACACCTCCCCCAGGGCCTTTGCTCTGGTTGGGAGAGGGAGGCTTAGGATGCGAAGGCCTCAAGTTTGAGGAGAGCCCCTTGTACCAGGGTCAATGCCAGGTTGCTTGATCCTTGAGAAATAGGCTAAGAGTCAAACAGGTTGCGCTAGGCAATATCTCATACCCATGGAGCAAACGGGGCCCTGTGGAGAATGCACTTGGGAACGCACCTTCTCGATCATGACGGCATAGATGCCCATCTGCTGGAAGCCACGGGTGTAGTAGAGCATGTTGGTCCAGCCCATGGCCAGGGAGAACACCATGGAAGCCACATACTCCTTGCGTTGGCTGAAGTACAGTACCACAGACACCAACATGAACAGCGACTGCACAAAGCTGAGGGTAGAGGGACAGGCAGCACTGCTTAGGGGGCGGCCATGAGCAAAGCCCTAGACTGAATGAGTCTGTAGACTGAGTGCAGCCATGTAGGGCTGGGGCAGGTAGGGCCTTGCTTCCTTTATCACACACATTTTCAGCAGGAACAGGGACAAAAATGTGTGGGGTTTCAGAGCCAAAATCTTACAACCAAAATGCAAATATATCACAGATGCTCTCTGATTTATGGTAGAGTTACATCCTGAAAAACGTGCCGTGCATTGAAAATACAACTCAGAAATGCACTGAATGTCCATCAGAGCTTAGCTGCACCGTGTTCTGCAGGGTGTCAGCCACCTCCCCTTAAGACTGTGCCACTGAAAATACTGAAGGATGCATTCCAATAACACAAGGAAAAGCCAAGAAAGAAGAGAAGAGGAAGAGACAAGAACCAGGAGAATTCCAAGGCTGGCAGCAGAGAGAAGTCTCAGGGTGCCAGACAACAGCAGGCTGGGAACACAACTCCGTCAGAAAGAGAAAACAGGAAATGGCATGGTGGTGCATACCTATAATCCCAACTCCAGAAGCAAAGGCAGGAGGATTGTTGTAAGGTAGAGGCCAGCCTGGGCTACATAGTGAGAACTGTCTCAAAGACAAGAGGATACTAAAAAGGACAAAGAGGAGTGTAGGAAAAAATCTCAGGGAAAAAAGAGATCTGATCATGTATTATAATTTATAGGACTGATTTTTGAGGGAAATTGCTCCTTTTTTAGGGAGTGTGGGAATAATTAGCATTGTACACAATGAAAACTAAACAAGTGAAAAATAATCACTAATTTCAGAAGAAACAAAAAAACGTGGAGCATTGTGAAGCTCAACTGCTAGGAATATTTACAAAGGCATAAGAATACAAACGCTGATTATTGATTAACGCAAAAATTATTACATAATCAGTTGGAAAGATGAAAGGGAAAACAGGGAAGGAAGATGCTGAGTCCTAACCTACTGCATGTCAGAAGCACATGTCAGAAGAGAGAGCTACAAGATGGAGAAGTGCCCAAGGAAGGAGGGTTTCAGAGACAGAAGTGCTGGGGGCAACAAACTCCTGTTTGGTTATAAACTTATTTTCTACTCTTGTAATTTGTATCAATGTGCATGATACAAATAAAAGTGTAATATATTCACATGTATAGTGTACATGTACGTACACACACACACACATATACACACACATATGTGAGCATTATTTAGCATAACCACAATGTGGTCATACCGTCCTAGGACTAGAATCTTGAGTTTACTGGCATAATGCTATGTGGGAGAACGCTACTTCTCAGGCAAATCAGTACTGCTTTAACAGTTATTATAGACACTGCAGTTTGAGTTTGCCCTTTGGGATGGAAGGAAAGATTAGACAGGAAGCATGAGGTTTGTGAGTCCTGGGGATAAGGTAGCCACAACAGTGCTATAAATCAACTCCCTAATCACACCAGAAATGAAACTGAGAGAAATCTGGGGAACAGAACAGAGTCTGAGGCAAAATCCCAGGAGACAGATAAATGCTATGGTTTGGAATCCTAGCTTATTTTATAAATGGAAGCTCATTTGACACCCACATCAAATTATAGCTCTGACTTTGTTTCTGTCTTTTCTTAAAACAGTGACTTTTAACCAGGCATACACACCCTCACCACCACCACATCTAGTTGGGGGCCTTTGTACCTATCTGCAGGTGTTTCTGAGTGCCAAGAAAAGATACTGGCATCTATTGGGGAGGGGCTAGAGATGCTGCTAAGTCTTCTTTAGTGTACATGACAGTCCTACCCCCACCACAACTGTAATTACCTAGTCCAAAATATCAATGATGCTAAGGTGAAAAAAATCTACGTTGGGAGAGGAGAAATATAATCAAAATGCATTGTATGAAGTTCTCAAAGAATTAATTAAAATATTTTTCAAAAATCCCTGCCTTGAACATTGGGAATTCCTGAAGGTAAGAGCTGTGTATATTTCACTACCATCTCCCAGTGTAACCCAGTGAATGGCAGATGGATGCACACACAACAGACAAAGTAAAGAAAGGAACTTCTAACTCAGTCTATAAGCCATATAAACCCGCGACACAGTCCGTCAGCCCCAGCACCTGGTAAGACAATAGTTGGTATTCATTCATCTGAATGGTTCAGTACCTTCCACCATTGCTTCAACATGCTTACTGAGGCCCTACTATGTGCCTCGTTCAGCATAGGTGAGAGATGAATGAGAATTGACAGCAGTCACCTCAGGAGGCCAAAAGGAACACACAAGTCAAAACATCACTTACAAAAGTATCTCACTGTAACTGTCCACAAACAAACTCTTGAGGGACGGCCTCCTCTGCAGGAAATATTGAATCTGCAAATGAACAGACAGAATAAGTTCCTGGGAAATGTTAGATGTGGCTAAATGAGCCTCAGCATGCTTTCAAAGTAAGGCACCAGTGGAGATGGGGGGAGGGTCCAGCAGAGAGTATGAAGAACAGGGCAGCACAGATTGAGCTAATGGGGTGGATGGCATAATGTGGCTCATGGGGGTTTTAAAAACAAATCAATCATACACATAAAATAAAAATAAATAAATCTTTTTAAAAATCACAATGATCGGGGGTGGAGAGATGGCTCAGTGGTTAAGAACACTGGTTGTTCTTGCAGAAGACCCAGGTTCAAATCCCAGCACCCACATGGCAGCTAACAACTGTCCATAACTCCAGTTCCAGGGGATCTGACAGCCTCTTCTGTCCTCCACGGGCATTGCACAAGACGAGTGCACTTATCTACATGCAGGCAATACATGCACACACATAAAATAAAAAATAAATATTTTTTTAAAAATCATAATGATCTAACTAGGTATAGTGGTACACACCTGTAATCCCAACACTCAGTAGGTTGAGGCAAGAGGATGGAGAGTTCAAGGCCAGTCTGGACTACATAGAGAAATCTCATATCAAAAAAAAAAAAATCATGGGGCTGGGGCTGGAGAGATGGTTCAGTGGTTAAGAGCACTGGCTGCTCCTACAGAGGACCCGGGTTCGATACCCAGCACCCACATGGTGGCTGACAACAGTCCTTAACTCCAATTCCAGGGGGATCTGATGCCCTCTTCTGACATCTGTGGGCATTGCACAATATGGTGCACTTACACCCAGGCAATACACTCATACACATAAAATAAAAATAATAAACTATTTTAAAATAAAAAAAAATTTAATCAGGGTGCTGAGCCAGGTGTGGTGGCACACACCTTTAGTCAGAGCACTCAGAAGACAAAGGCAGGCAGATCTCTGTGAGTTCAAGGCCAGCCTGGTCTACATAGTGAGTTCCAGGACAGCTGGGGCTACAGGGAGACCCTGTTTCAAAAAGACAAAAAAAAAATCATGGGGCTGAAGAGATGGCTCAGTGGTTAAGATCTCATACTGCTTTTGCAGAAGACATACATTTGATTCCCACACCCACATTGGGCAGCTCACAATGGCCTGTAACTCCAGTCCTAGGGGCTCTACCATCCTCCTCTGGACTCAGGGACCTTGCACTCATGTGTGCATGCACACACACAATTAAAAATAAATAAAATTAATATTTTTAAAAATCATGAGGGAGCAGTGGAAATTATGTAAATACAGTCAGTATTCATGCATGGAATTCTCAAAACACAAATTAAACATAATGATTTCAAATTCTGCATTCAGATTTGTTTGTATGAACCTGAGTTCTCACCCTTCTTTAAAGAAAGTAAGACTAGAACTCAGGCCATGCCTTCCCTCAGCTCTAGTTTTTACAAGTAAGTAAAATTCTAAAAGGAGGTCCCACATTCAAAGAAAATACCACAGGGCCTGAGAAGACGTGTCAGTTTGTAAAGTGTTTGCTAAGCAAACGTGAAGACCTGAGTTCAATCTCTAGCATGCATGTTTAAAAAAATGAAAACTTAGGGGCTGGAGAGATGGCTCAGCAGTTAAGAACACCAACTGTTCTTGCAGAAGACCCAGGTTCGAATCCCAGCACCCACATGGCAGCTAACAACTGTCCATAACTCCAGTTCCAGGGGATCTGACAGCCTCTTCTGTCCTCCGCAGGCATTACACAACATGGATGCACTTATCTACACACAGGCAATACACACATACCCTTAAAATAAAAATAATAAATAAAAAAATTTTTTAATGAAAACTAAAACGCAGACACAGACACAGGGCAGCACACACTGTAATCCCTAGGTAGGCAGGCACAGGAGGGTCCCTGAGGCTTGCTGGCCAGCCAGCCTAAGAAAAGACCCCTCCCACAGGAAGAATAGTCACAGACTGCTTATATATGAGATTTCAGATAGAATAAAATGATTCCACCACACATGTAGATTCCATTCACTGGTCTGAGTTGTAAAGGACTGTTCTGATAAACTGGTCATAATCCTGTCACTGAAGAGGTTTCCACTCTATTCCTATGCTTAAATCTTACCTTCCATATAAGGCTTATGATGGAGCTCCAGGGCTGCCTGTGTTGCATGACCGCTGTTGGGCCCTTGGGGAGACATTAGGCAGTCCCCCCACTCCAGCTGTGAATGACTGTGAGATTCTCAGCTTCACACACTCGTCTCTCAGACATGGGTGAGCAGCTAGTGCTTTTCTTGATTTTTGTCAGTGACAGGAGAAATTCAGCTTGTGAAGGAATGCTTACCCCTCGGAAAAAGAAGTAGACTCCTCCTGACACAGAAAGGACCTCTCCTGTGACTCGGAAATAGTCTCCAACAGTGTTCCTTAGTTCATAGGGAGGCTGTGAGGTGCAGAGAAGCTGGTGACTCCACTCACTCACTCATTCATTCAACAAACATTTACCAGGTACCAAGCCTTACATTTAAGTCTCCGCGCCTACATAGGAGTCAAGCCTCTATTAAGAGAGAAACGGGCCCATCAAAATGGCTCCAGAAACAGAAGTATTTACATGGCAAGCCTGATGAACTGAGTTTGGTCCCCAAAACACATTGTGAAAGGAGAGACCTGACTGCTGAAAGTTATCCTCTGACCTCCACACACATCCACATACCCACACTCACACAAACATATAAATTTAAAAAATTAAACTAAAACAATGTTTGAAAACAGAAACACAAAGATAATGCATTATTATGGGACATCTGCAAGAAGGCCCCTCTGTGCCATTTCCCAAAATGGCAGTCTGTAGGTCTCCAGCAGAGGATCTTTACAGTGCTATGCTGACTCCCAAGTAAGGTCCCTGTCCAGGCTCTGCGTGGATGGAAGAGGTGATAGGGAGGGTGGAGGTGCTCTTACAGACTCAGCGCCTTGGGAATCCCATTCTTCCTACAGCCTGTGGTGCCAACCTCCTCTCCCAAGAAGCAATGTCAAAGCTCCCTATGGAGGATGAGGGAGAGAGGGACCATCCCTGACACACAGATGGGTACAGCCATTCTGCTTCCACCACCATTTTCCGAACAGGATAACCATTGGTGCTTTGCAAGCACTAGCTCACTAGCTGTTTATTAGCATATTTCTCTTTTCTTTCTCTCTCCTCCCTTCCTTCCTCCCTTCCTTCCTTCCTTCCTTCCTCCCTTCCTTCCTTCCTTCCTTCTTTTCTTTTGTTGTGGTACTTTGGATCAAACCCAAGGCCTTACACATCCTAGGCAACCACTACACCACAGAGCTGTTGCCATAATAACCCTTCTCTTTTCAAGCAAAGTTCTTAAATACCTTTCATAGATTTATCAAAATCAGACTTCACCTAACTCTGAAATAGGGTTTTAAAGGCAAAATGCTCCAGAAACAGGGTGGAAAATTAAGTGCCCTGGGTATTGAATGAGAAGGACTCAATTCAGAAACTCAGTGGAGTCCATGGTTCAGAGTAGATATAAAAGCATCCTAAGCTGATCTGAGGGATGGTACCCAGCCTGGTACAAACGAAGTACTTGAGGGCATAGGTGTAAGGAGCAAAATTTTAACAAGCAGATGAACCAAACAGTGCAGGTCAGCAGACGGCAATGGAATCAGGTCTCACATCATCCTGTGACCTGTAGACACCCAGGTCAGGCCAGCTGCCCACCCACCCCTGAGTCCCCATACTCAGGGACCTCAGTGAGCATCTACTCAGCCTCCCAGAACCACAGACTTGAAAAGTCCAGGCACAGGATCGCCTACAACAAGGGAGACTGAGGCCAGAGAAGCAAGGCTCTATAGGTGGTCCCTCCACTTCTCAGTGAGCTAGGAAGGGGTCCCAAGCAGAGTCTGGAATTTAAGGCATCTCAGGTGAATGTCCCACTCCCACCCCCAATCCCAACCAGGGCCCCATGCCTCTGGCCGTACCAAGCCTTTCACGGGTCTGTAGTAAGCAGCCGTGGTGAAGATGACCATGTACAAGCAGTAGACGGAGAAGTTGAAATAGAAGATGCGCTTGACAAATCTGTCCCACTTGTCCTGTAGGAGTCGGTTCAAGGGCTCCACTAGGAGCATGTCGTGACGATTCTAAGAGAGCAGAGAAAGGTAAGGCTCACTCCCACACCAGAAACTGCCTTGAGTGCCCATACCAGCTTGTAGCACTCCTCACACCATGTGACCCACACAGTCAAGACATAATGTTCCTCCAGCCTGCCAGGCATTCAAGGGTCACTGGAGATCTGAACCATTACACAGTCGGGACCTCCGACTGGTCCCAGCTCTGCTGTGGCTCCTTAAGTGACTCGCCCTCTTGGCCTTGGTATCTCCAGAGGTATAATGATCAAGGAGATCACCGGACAAGCCCTAAGTGCTCACATTTCCCAACATCCTAGGGCCATTATCTCTAACAACTGACTCCCAAGAGCCATCATCTTCATCACTCCCATAATGATGAGAAGCAGGCTCAGGCAGAGTCTACTATGCAGCCACTCCTGCAGTGGCCTCTACAGTCTTCATTTCTCATGTTTTCAGCCCTGAGTCAGGCAGGGGTATCAATGACCAATGCATGAGATGTGAAGGGGCCTGGGCTTATCCTGTAGCAATGCCCCTGTACTTCATTTTACAGATGCTAACGTCTTTAGGCCAAAGTCTTATAACCAAAAACTTTAAGGCTCACATGGCCTAATATGTAGAAATGATGAACCCAAGGTAGTTTGTCCTAACCTCGCTCAGGTTCTTGAGTCCAAACCCAGCCCAATCTTGAGTTCCACCAACAAGGTCCCTGTTCCATGTCTGCTTGAATACCTTTAGGGGTAGGAAGCTCCTTACTCCTTCAAGAAGCCTCTGGAGAAGTGTTAACTGTGAGGATGATCTGTTATTTAGAGTAAATTTGGTCTGCCTTCCACCAGTGGTTCCAGCTCTAGCCTGATGGCCCCAGGACAAGCCCATGCTCCCCAGAGAGCCTTGGGGACATGAAATGGTTACAGAGCTTTCTGTACTCCAGGTTAAATTCCTCAGTCCACTGTGAGGTCATTTCCTAACCAGACCACCCCTCTGGGAACTCTTGGATTTGGGACTCAAGTCAGAAGCCACATTCAGTATGACAGCCCAGGTGGGGCTGACAGGGCAGAACAGTCCAGGCCTCACCCTCCGTGGACTCTGCTCCTATAAGTGCAATCTTGTCCCATGAAGCATTACGGCAGCCCCTCAGTGCTGAGAGCAGAGACTCCCGCCCCCAAGTCTGCTTCCAGAGCTTGGAATATCACTTTAGGAAGAGGGGACAGGTGAGATAAACTTTCAAAGCAGGATAGACTGACTATTCAGTAAGCAGCATCAGGCCTTCACTTAGAACCAGAATAATTAAGTAAAATGCCTTCCTCACACCCACACAAAAGGAAATTCTAGATAAAGAGCCAAACATAAAAGACCTAGAAAGAAGTTAAAAGGAAATACAGAAGAGCCACTGTATAACTCAGAAAAGAACAGGCCTTCCAAGCAAGGCACATGTCACAGAAGCTATAAAAGAAAAAGGGTAACCAGCTTGACCGTATCGAAATAAAAATCTTGTATAAGTAAAGGATGCTGTAAGTGATATTAAAAGGCAAGAGACAGATTGGGAAGAAAAACATTCTTTGCAGCAAGAGCAACAGAGGAAAGATGTATTCATTTCATGGCGAGAGCATCTGCAAACCAAAGGGAGAAGGCAAGCAGTACCACCCTTGGAGAGCCACCAAGGAAACACAAAAGGCCAATAAATGCATTAAAATGATCCACCACACAGCAATCAAGAATAGGGGTGAACAGCTGGGTGTGGTGGTTGCACACCTTGCAGTCTCGCACTTGGGAGGGACTCCAAGGTCTGGGCTGCATAACAAGCCCATGTGTAATAAATAAATAAAACGAGAGAAAATGAAGCGGGCATACTTTTTGATTTAGAAATTCCAATTTCATGTATCTTTCACTGAAAAATCCTCATGTTCAAGCCAAAGGCCCACAGTGTGGTAAGAGCAGAAACAACTCCAAACAGCTTGACTGTCCTGTGGACACTTGCTCCTCATCCCCACTGTGGAATGACTGCTATGCAAGAAGTTTTAAATGAAACCTGTGCACTCACACAGAGCTATCTACATGCCATTAAGTGAAAACAATTGGTTATTCTACGACATGTATAATATGATTCCTACTAACGAAAGCAAAATGAAACTTTCATATGGTATAAAATAAAACTGTTATAGGATATAAAAGAATGATGCTCTTGTCTGTATAATTAGGAAATGTTCTTGTTTTTATGGGCCAATGATCATCTGGTGTTTGTTTGATATGGGAAGGAAGAGGAGACAGGCTATAGGACCTGGGCTCCAGGAAGCAGGTTTTCATGAGAGACCAGGCAGAGGCAGAGGTACAGCTTGAGCAGAGAGTTGGGGGTCGGGGAGCAGGGTGCACCATGTCTCGCCCCAGACACTCACGGGGGTTTCACTGCTGCTGTAGGCGATCACCTCCAGCACTGAGTTCTTCTCACAGGTGTCAATGCAGGACAGGTCATAAAGCGAGGAGTGCACGGGACCATAGGCCCATTCAGTGAACTTCCTGGAGAGGTGCCGGCACTCAGGCTCATGGATCTCCCTCTGGAGAATATAGGCCAAGACCTGCAGCAGGTTGGAGAGCCTGTTCAAGCCAGCCAGGGCCAGGCCATGAACTGCTTCCCCACCCAGACCCTGAGTTCCCGTGGTAAATGAGCCTGGCTTCCCAGCCCCATCAGATACCCAGCTAAAACCCCACTCACTCCTTCCCATCATCAAGATCTAGATGTTGGCTGCCTCTAACTCCAGCTGTGGCTACATTGGGCCCATCACACCTGGGCCAAAAGCTCTATTGACCCCTTCTGCTGTTTACTGTTTCATGCCTACAATCTCTGTCTATGGGACAGTTAAGCTATTAGCAGTTAGTTCTGCTCTTACCACTCCGCAAGCCACTGGCATGAGCTCGAGGGTTTTATAATGAAAGACACAAAGTATAAAGAACAAAAGGTGTAAAGGTGGCCTGTTCTAGAAAACCTCAGGTCAGAAGGAAATAATCAAAATTTAAAGAATAAGCCACGCATGGTAGTTCACCTGTAATCCTAGCACTCAAGAGTCTGAGACAGGAAGACTGCTGTAAGTTCGAGGCCAGCCTGGGTTACAGAGTAAGACCTTCTCTGAAAAAAAAAAAAAAAAGAAAGAAAGAAAGAAAATCCGAAAAAGAAAACAAAGGTCTTAAAAGCAGGCTCCTTAAATGAGCTGGGACAACCTTCTAATATCCTCCACTACTGAAAAGCCATTCCCCTCAAATTCTAACAGCTCCAACCCCCACCATTGGCCTGACCTAATATTATCCATAGGCCCCTGATTTGGCCCCTCAGGGCCCTCACAGGCATTCCAAAAATCTTGTCTACCCTAGTAAAACACCACCAGCCTATTTTTCTATCTCACCCTAGTCTGTACCCCACCCACCTTAAATCTCTGTGACACTCAAAACTGTAAATTGAAAATGCTCATGTCAACTTTGACAGTTTCTGCTCAGCAGCCCACAGCATCTATGACTTACTCTAACAGCCCCATGAGCTGCTGGCATCAGAGCCCCCCACACACAGTCCTCTCCCGAGCCACCCTCCCTGCCTGGTACCTCCAGTTCAAGGCCAAAGTCCCCACCCTACCCCGATCTTCCCTGTGCTGGCAGCCAGAGCCAGTGGCGTGAGCCCCTTCTTGTTGATGAGCTCCTCCAACTTCAGAGTAGGGTGGAGTTTGGCCCCCAGGATCAGAATCTCGTTGTACATGCTTGTCACAAACTTGGTATTGTCGGCCGTGTTGTCAGCCACCTCCACCAGGGCGTGCAGCACCGTGTTGCCCACTGAGTCCCGGGCACCGATGTCTGCTGGCTGCCAGGAGTTCTGCAACAGGAACTTCACAATGGCCAGCTGGTTGGTGCATGCAGCCAGGGACAGGGGCAGCTCACCTGCAACCAACACAGGGTCCCAAGTAGGCCCCAGGAATGAGGCTGGTTGGTCCCTGAATGACTGGGCCTCTAGCTCCCTCATGTCTGCCACATGGCCTCCCTACCAAAGTAGAAGCCAGGCCGCCCTTTGGTTTTCTTAAAGAAGTCCCCATTGGCTGCAGCCTGGACATCTGCTCCATTCTCCACCAGCAGGGTCACCAGTGCCATGTTCCGCCTCTCAATGGCTATGTGCAGTGCTGTCTGGCCTATGGAGGATGCTCACTGTTGGCTTTCTGATTATAGTCCTATGGGAACCCAGACAGATATACCCAGGGAAGGACCCTGGGCAGGTGGCCGCTATTGCTAGAAGAAGCAAGCAGAAAGTACCTGGACAACCCCCACAGCAGGAGGCTAAGCCAGGGTCCCCCAAAGAGGCCAGGAAAGTCTTGAAGCCAGAACAGAGGAGGCAAAGTCACCCAGGAGCAAGGCACAGTAGCAGTGAGAGGAGTGGGTGTAACAGCAAGGGGCAGGAGGCAGCAGACACCCACAGGGCCATAGGAGAAGACTTCAGATGAAGAAGGCAGGTGTCAGAACCAGGAGACAGCAACACAGTGGTGGGGACTAGGAGCATCCCCTTAGGGCACAGATGTGCTGCAGCTGAGCTGGGCCACCCCCACCTCACCCTTGTAGTAGCTGTCTGTGTAGCTGGCATTGACAAACTGCTTCAAGCTGTCAGTCTGCCGAGCAATGTCCAGGAGCAGGGTGATGGTGTCATTCTGCCCATTGTGCAAGTTGAGCATGGCTTTCAGCAGACAGGTTTTCCCTGTCTCCGGGTCTGAAGGACAGAAAGAGGGTCAGAGCCAAGCCAGGGTTAAGGGGACCCTCCCAGAAAGCCAGCCTTCACAGGGCCACCTTTAAACTCATTGTCCGTGAGGCGCTTCTTGCTCTTCTGCAGGAAGGGCAGCAGGCTCTCCAGCTCCTGGCAGTTACTCTGAGCCACAGCATCAAAGATGCTCCTGCGGTCATAAAGCCTAGGGGGCTTCTCTGCACCAGTGGGGACAGAGTCCTGGGTCGACTGCCTGGGGAGCAGATCACATCCTCATCTCAGACCTGCTCTCCCCTGAGGCCTTTGGGCCTTGTCAAGGAACATGACTAAACCCCAAAGCAAACCAACCGGAAAAAAACATCATACAAAGGCCACCCTCAGTTTAGAAAGCCAGTATCACAAGGAGTCCTGGCACACATGTGCCCTAGCCTGTCTGTAGGCATCATGAACAGTTTTGGCCACTGTCACCTCTTCTTCCAGCCCATTTGCCTTCCTTCTGGGGGAAGGAGGAGACAGGAGCCTAGAAGGGCTAGACAGGATTGGCATCACCCCTACTGAATGAAAAAAGCATCTTCACGCTACCCAAAAGTCAGCCAGCTTAGGGGACTCCCTGCCTTGCCTCAGATGAGGTAGGAAGGCTGGCAGACTTCTCACTGGAGCTCTGGACCTTGGACTTGAAGTCTAAGTATTCGGGGCTGGTGAACAGTCTAGGCCTGGACACCTAGCAATATGCTAGCAGCCAGGATCAGCATATACACACCAACATCTGTGACTCTGTGCCCATTGACATCACATGAGTACAGATGCTAGGCCAGATCAACTCTGAAGGCTCCCCAGCTCTGAAGCTCTGTGACTCTTAGCCCAGAAGCAAGACCACCCTATGTTACCCCATGGGTAGAGCTGCCACTAGCAAAGCCAGCTGGGCTCTTGGCAGGAAAGCCCTCCAGACTTACGTGGCACAGGTGGAACCATCCTCAGGTCTCTGGATGGCAACAACAGAGCTGATGGTGATGATCGGGCAGGAGGCCAGCCCACCTTCCTCATAAGGGCAATCCATAGGCGAGGCCTCCTCTGAGTCACCCTTTCCAAAGAGCCGAGTTCGGCTCCTGGTCGTGAAGATGTGGGGCTTGGCTGGAAGTGGCTTGGAGTCAGAGTCTCCATCTGGGGGGTCCGGGCAGGAGTCCTTTTGGGGTGGGTCCTCAGATTCCCTCGAGTCTAAGCTAGCCCATTTCTTCATCCTTTCCAGATCCTTTATGGCACAACCTGCAGGCAGCCACACACAGGAGACCTGTGTCCACCTTGAAGACCACATATTCTCAGCCCCTCCCAGCTCTCCTTGTCAAGGTCCCTGTGAAGCAGGACCCTGTAAAAGCCCAAACAGTCTGCCCCTGCACCCCCAGAACTAAAGTTTTCAGAACTTTGCTTCCCACTCCAGTGACCCTGGGAGAGCAGGCCTATAGTGTCCAGCTGGTCCTGCAGCCACAGTGGCCTGGCTCCCTAGCTTAGAACCAGCAAGCTCTGGAGCACAGATCAGAGCCCCACTCTTGAGATTCTCCAGGCCTCAGCTCCCTGGTCTGCAGAGTAAAGATGAAGATTACTGTTCTGCCTGTCTCCCCAGATCAGAGTGCAGAAGCAACCAAAACAGCCAACACCAACTTCATCCACGGAGGAAGTGAGTAGTGAGGATGATGAGGATGGCCAAGCTGCCTTTGCCGTTCCACATGGCTGCAGTAACCATTGAGCTAGGAGGGGTTTGGGGTGGGTGGGTGTGTGTGTGTGTGTCCTGGCCTATACTTTGAGGCGAATAGTGCTGGGGGGATGGTTCAGACCTGAACCTCTAAAGATGAGCTAATTGCTCAGGTCGGTGCACCTAGCTGCTAGTGGGAGCTGACACTCTTTCCACCTCATCTCCCATGCTCCCTCTCCATCTACTGGTCATCTACTCCCTGGTGCCCAAGTCTGCCCTGGCTCAGGGTCCTTTGTTCCCATGGTGCCTCTACCTGTGGTGCTGTTGCCTCCACTTTCCCCAAATCCTCCCACATCTCAGATGACACCTCATCTTAGGATACAACACCGACACAGCTATCGCCACAAAGCCCCAACATCCCTGTACCAGCCGTACCCTGTCTCCCTCATGAGGGACCAGGCTCCTAGCCTACCCATCCTCTTGGCCCTTGGAGCAGAGTTCACCTTGTAGTCCAACTATCTCTTTCTAACTTGCTTTCTTCCTCCTGTGCCCTGTGCCCTCCTCTCAGTTGAAACCTTGCCTGACCTATCTCTATGAAAAAGCTGTGCTATAACCCCTCCCACCAAGGCAGATCACAGAATGGGGGGCAGAAAGATTATAGAGTCAGAGGTTGCCGGACTGCTGTGAAATAGTGTCTTATAAACATAGCTGGGTCACTGCACTGTGGTTGCCTACACATGGCCTACACAAGACCAAGCCAGTTAAAATTCCAGCATGGATGGGGTAGGAGCTCAGGAGGCCCCACCATCTAGCTGAGGAGCTAGTGGCAGTTGATAGCTGCTAAGGGACAGAGTCAGTTTTCTTCACGAGTGTGACCCCTGATAGACTGCCCATGCCTCAATGGATGGCTTCACACCCATGTATATAAAGGCAGCACTAGTTGGACTCAATTATAAAGGGGGGGGGCATTATGTGGGGGTGGAGTCCAGGAGGAGTTGCTGGGGGAAGGGAGTAGATGTGATCAAAATATATTGCATACATGTATAAAATTTTCAAAGAACAAATTTTTTTTTAAAGTTCTTTAAAGAAAAGGCTTACATTGGTTTCCTTGGGAGAAATAAAAGAGCGAGCAGACACAGGGCCTCTGCCTTATTTCTGAAATTAGTTGGGGAAAATGAATGTTCCAGCTGCATCTGAGTTCTGGAAAGCAGCCACTGAAGGAGGAGCAGGAGGTCCCTTGAGGTATGTGTTTTCAAGGGAAAGTTCAGGCAGCACAAACCCTGAGCACAAGCATGTGGCCAGGTCAGGCCCAGGAATCAACAGTGGTCTGATGTCCACAAACATAAAAAACAAAATGGGGAGGCCTCACAGTGCGCAGTCTGTGATTGGCAGGCAACTGAGCATTAGCCGCTTCCCAGGCTGGTCTGCTCAGCAGCTGAGGCTCTCTGTCCATCAGGAGGGCACTACATCCCGGAGCACTGCCTGCCTCACAGAGCCCTGCTTCTACATCCGCTCAGCCTGGCATTCAGCAGCTGTCTGCACTGTGCTGCAGCTGAGGAGTCAGACCCATAGGAGACAGAATCTGGGTTTTAGCTAGGACTAAGGGGGTAAGAGGGTGCTGGCAGAGGCTTCATGGAAGTAATGGATGAGCCGGGCTTGGAAGGGGAGCAGTCAGGACAGAGGCTGAGGGACCAGGTCAGGGGGACAGAGGGACAGTAGGACAAGATGGTTGCAGGCCTTGAAGGCCAAGAAACAGAATGTGGACATGACTGCAAGTAGCCACGAGGTGAGTTAGAAACATGGCAACTGGGTGCTGGTCCACACTTTCAAAAGATATGCCACAGACTGTTCATAGTATAGGGAAGCTGGAGTGATTTAAAAACACAGCAGGGCTGGGGCTGGGGCTCAGTGGTAGAAGGTACACCTAGGCTGCATGAGGCCCTGAGTTCCGTTCCCAGGACATGCATAAAATAATTAAAAATAAATAAATGAAAGACAGGCAGCAAGTGGAAATAAGAATGCCCAGTGTAACTGAGTATGTGCTATACACAAGGCAAACACTGCCCTGAGCCACTCACCTGCATTCACTCAATTCTCACATCTCTAAGAGGTAATTAGTTCACAGATGTAGATGGAAGCCCAGAGAGGTTAACGTATAACTCGCCTGAGGTCACAGAGTAAGTAGGAGGAATAACCTGAATTTGATCCACAGCATCCCTAGCAGGGCTCTTGCTCACATGTTAAACATGGCCCCAAACTCCATGTCAGGCCTGGGGGCTGACCAGATCGGGCACTCCCACCCCTGCGACCAGGTGTAAGCCCAAACCTAAAGCACCCTCTTGACCAAACAAGGATCCTAGGAATCTCAACACCCCAAACAAAAGTACAAGACATAAGTCATGTTCCATGCCTCACTCTCCCCAGAATGTCTGTGGTCTCCCCTTGGATAAGCAGGCTGCAAAACCAAGAATAAAGTGATCCCTGACTAGCAGTTCCTAACAGCCCAAAAAGAAGCAACCTACCAGCAGAAGTCTCCACGAACTATGCAGCAATGTAAATGGTCAGGGTCTCTGCCTCTTCCTCAGACTGATCCCAATATAACTAAACCAGGTAATAGGAAGCAGCCCCCAAGTTCACACCACTGAGTCAGTCAACAAACTCTGAATCAGCACTGCACACTCTATATCTAATTCCCTATTGGAAATCAAGCTTCTCCTAGTTGGACGGTGGAACAGTTACTGGGGCAGTGGGAGTGGAAGAAGAGGGGCATTTACCGACAGATGGAGAGAACACAGAGGCAGGATAATCCATCATAGGCAAACCCATGGTTGTCATGGACATGAACCTCCTAGTGATGCAGGGAAATTGCAGCCATGTTTTAGACCTGTTGGTTGTCTGATGGAGATGGGGGGGGGGGTCTGGTCTTTGCCAGGACCACAAACTAAAGATGCACTAAAGGACTGCCATGAAGCACTGACCACCCAGACCTAGTTTGACCTCTGTGTCTGTCTCTCTGCAGAGCCAGACTGGCTACTATACACTGCCAAGGAGAGGGTGTGACTCCTTTCTCCCAAGACTATGGGGAGACACATCCTGAGGATGCTTCTCCCAGTCACCTCTCCGCCCAAAGCCTCCCTCCTGGCAGGACGCTGAGAGTATCTTCCTCTGGCTGTCTGTGATGTTGAGAAGCTGGAACAACATGGCCGACCCCATCACTCCCATCCCCTCACCCAACCCAGGCATCAACTCAGAAAAGACAGAGAATTGGGGCTTCCCAAGTCAGGAATGAATGACAAAGTGGCTCCGCCAAGAACAGAGAGAAGAGGCAGGGCAGGAATCCAGGCTTCCGCCACCCAGCCCTGCACTCCTTCTCTGCCCAGAGAGGCCATCACGCTGAAAACCTATAGCCATGAACCTCTGGCCTCCACAGCAAGCTGCAGCCTCCTCACTTCTGCAGCAGAGTCAGTGTAACAAGTACTGGGTCTAACAGCCGCCGCTTTCACTGACCCAGTACCTGAGATCAGCCACTCTTAAGTATGTGGCACCATCTCCTCAGTTCCCCCAGCAATCCGTGAGGCAGCAACTGTTACCATTCCAGTTTTCATATGGGTTAACTGAGGCCCTAAGAGTCCAACAGAACCGCACACAGACAACAGCAGGTCCAGCTTGTATTTACATGTCATTCTAAAAGCTAACATCTGCACTGGGCATCAGATGAAGAGAGGGACTCACCAGCTAGGTGCAGGCACACCCCAGACCCAACAGGCGCTGGGAGCTGGGAGCAGTTGCTCTTCGTGGCAGAGTCAGACTGGTATGGGGTAAAAATGGACTTCCTTCCTCTGTGAGGGTCCTCACCCCTCCCCCGGTGTGCTGCAGGGGTGGGCTGTGGCCATACTCTCGCACACCAGGAAACATTTCCAGCAATGGCAGCAGCTGCTGTTGCCACAGCTTGGATTCCCTGAGGATCCCAAAGCTTTTCCCATCATTTTTTCCCTTTTTCAGAAACCACTTAGCTGCTGCTCCGCCTCCAGCCATGCCAGGTCTGAAATGCACTTAGCCGCCTGCAGCCCTGTCCAGTCTGAACCATAGGCAGGAGGACCTTGGCCTCCCAACCATCTCTCCCAGGATGGGAGCAGCTCCCTAAATGAATGTCACAGCCAGAGACACAACTGGAACTACTCTGTTTTCAAAGTGAAGATGGACTGGGATTACCTGTCACACAGTCCTGGCCTGGCATTTAGGGACCTGCCTAGAGGCCTGCCTCCTTTGGCCCTCTGGTGTCTTGTATATTCAAGCCTAGAGTGGAGACTGGGGTTGGGGGGGCTTTGAGATCTGCCAGGACCCAGCCTTTCTCAACTGGGGTTCCTCAATGGACAACAGAACACAGAAAATTATGAGTGTTGGTTTCTCACTTCCTCTAATGCCACCCTGACTTCCGGGAGACAAGTTCATCCAGCACACACAGTGGAGTGATTAGAACAATTAGATTCCTTCCCAGAGCTCACCTGAGAAAAGCCACCAGCTTTCTGTGTTTACACACAGGCTGCAACCCAAACTGCCCTGCAGAAGTCATCAG